CAATTCGTTGCCATTTGTAAGCGCCGAAAATTTCAAAAAGATCGGAGCATGAACACCGAAGGTATTTGGCTAAGGGAAGAAGAAGCTCAGTTAATGTATAAATGATGCATATCTTATGCATGTGTGTTTTTGTATATATATGCATGCTAAGAAGCTAGAATGTTTCTAAGGGCAGTTCGGAGTTGGGCTCAGGGCATCTCCTAGTCAGGCACTCCCGACTAGATTACTTCGCTTATTTATGACAACAATTTTTTTTTTTAATTTAATTTGCGCCACTTTCCAGTTAATTATTTCTTTCGGCTTGAGAAGAATGATTGCTAGAACAGCTTACAATTATCTTTATAATTATAGTTAGTTATTGATATGTTTATTGTTGTTAAGACGCGAACTCAATTGACATAGGTCTTGCTATTGATGCGCTAATCAAACATTCGAAATCAAAATAGCTACTAATTAACGATGTGGTTTCCATTTGTGTGTTGATTTAAGCCCACCTAGGTTACCTGTACATGTTATAGCCAGCTACACGTGTATTTAGTTAAGGGCACACTTAATACAATTACAAACATACACGGTACACACACAATCTCATAACTGGAATGACACCAGGTTCAATTAGTTTCAGTTAAATGCATTCGACACGGTCACCAAATCAATTTGAATTTGTGGCTTAAGATACAACGTTTCTGCCGTGTGTGTGTGTGTGTGTAGGTGTGTGTGTGTGTGTGTGTGTGTTTGTGTGAACGTGTGTGTCAGTGTCTAATGCCGTGCTAGAGATGAGCAATATAAAAAAACGATAGTCAAACCTAATTAATTGAATTAATATTTATTAAAAAAATAAATTTGTTCATATTTTATTTCAACTTTCTTAAACTCCTGTTAATGTTAACAGCTAGCTTAATTTATATCAAACATGTAATAAAACCCAATTTTATATTTTATGTTGCTGCAACACTCTTATTTATTTATTAATTTTTTGTTAGTTACTTTTAGTAAATTTGAAATACAGTTCGTTATTTTTATATAATACAATACATTTTGGTTAGTTTTAATGCAAGAGATTTGCATGTTAAATACTTGACATGAGAATAATATTTATCATATGTTCCATATTGTTCTTTAATTAAATTATTGGTCCTTTATGAAGATAGGGTTGCCAACCATGCTGAAAGTTCGTAAAATGACATTATCAAAACGGGAATAAAACAATTTAAAAATCAATTTCTTTAAAACTTTTATAAATTTAAGCATCAATGCGAAAGCGAGTTTTAAATTTAAATTTTAACGTTAAATTATTTTAAGTCTACGCAGTCTCAGAGGATTTCTAGGCAGAATCTATGCTATATAATATATTAAATAAATTATATTTAATTTGGAATGTTCCTAGTCGTAAATCGATTTTGCTTTGCGTGCTTAAATTGAATAGCAAATAAATGCAAAGGTCAAACAATATTCAAAATGAGGTCAAATTGTAGCTGTAGAAGAAATTATCTACGGCACGCCGAATATTGAATACTCTAGCCGATTTGTGAGTTGAAATGCAAAGTTTGTAATTTCAATGGCAAAACAGAAACTCATTTAGACAAGAACTCACTTTTTCATCAATTCTGCTATAGAGCTTTATGATATATTTGATATATATAGAGATTTCCAATGATATCTTAGACATTTGCGAATAAGAGTTTGCCTTTATATAGGGAACATGCTAAACCTTGTAAATGATTCGTCTTCTCAAGATAGCTTGAAACACAAAAATGTTATTCATATTAGGCTGTCTGCTTCTATGTGTTACACATTACCTGACAAAATTGTAACACCCTTTGGAAGTGTATAAAAAAAAGCTGCCCTAAAACTGTGACGGTCATGCGAAACGTTTAACGCAGCGCCCGAGCTTAATTTGGTCAAGCGACGAACCACCAAACCACCAAACCACCCACCACTGCACACACACCTACACACAGCAACACCCACTACACACCCCACACACACGCACAGCTGGCAATTAGTGTTGTGTGTGCGGTTTCAGTTTCAGTTTCGACCCGGCTGCGCTTATCTTTCCGCTTGCAGTTGCTGCCCCAGCTTGGCGCTTATTGTTGTTGATGGCTTTTGGGACTCCCCCCTCAGTACGTCGCGTGGCAGGAAGAGGGGGGGGGGGGAGCGTACAAAAATCGGTCCCATCATAACGACAAACTTCGTTTGGCAAAAGTATGTTACAAAAATAGTTGGCCTAAAACCTGGCCGGGGCCAAGCTCGTAAAAAATAATAAACAGAACGTCAGTTGACCACGCCAGGCCAAAATTAATAGAGTCGCCGGCGCACAGCTTTTGGAGCTCATAAACCAGGAAAATAGCCCATAATAAAGTGACGGGACCACTTTGGTGCCATAAAGTAGGCAGCTAGAAGTATGACATTCCAGCTAAGGCATATACTTAGGTTGGCCGCAACCTAACTTCTTGATAAAGTCAATTTACGAGGTGCTTGCTTGGCTGGCATTTTCATGTCCTCCATGGTCAATTCGTGTGTGTTTTGTGTGTGTGTGCATGTGCGTGCTTATTTGCAAAACCTTTTTGTAGTCGAGCGGAAGAAATCAGAATTTTTTGAGTTTCTATTTTTGTATATTTTTTCTTGGCACCTTTTTATTTTGCTGTCCTCCTGGTTCAGTTTATGGGAAAAAACTGTTTAGGGTTCTATTTGTGGAAGTGCTCGTGGTTGGAAATTTCAAATATTTAGAATAATTTTGGAATTTTTAGAGCTAGAGCTTTGATTCTCGTAGACTGCAACGGTTTGCGCGTCCTCCATGGTCACTTAAAGAGCTTTAACTTGAATCAAGCCGAATGGCTAAAGAGTTTTTGTAAACTCTTAAGAGACAAATGTTACCTGCGGTCTTTTGGTTGTCCTCCATGGTCACTTTATGTAGAAAACTCTCCTGCTTTGCTGCGTGAACTTGTATATATGAGATGTTTATGCACAAATATTGTTTCATTTTAAGTTCCCTTGGGCATTCGAATTTTCTTCATTGTCACTTTAGCTGCTTGACAAAGCGAATATATTGCTTAAGGTAATTTCAATGTTCGATTTGGAGTGTTTTTTCTCAAAGATAAATGTTACCTGCGCTATTTTCGTTGTCCTCCATGGTCACTTTATGTAGACAACGTTGCTTAAACGCATTTTTGAATTATGAAGTTGTGTTTTTATGTGATGTTTTTTGTTTGAAGTTTTTGAATTCCTCGAAAATGTTTGGCCTCTAGACTTTTTATATATTGTTGTTGTTGTTGTTGTTTATGAAGTAATGTGCCTGTTTTCCAATTTCAATTAAATATCTGTAAATTTAATCGCTAGTTGACTTTGTAAAAGCGGCTTTTCCCAGTGCTAAAGTTTTTTTTTTCTGTTTATTTTTTTTTGGTGGGCGTTTTATTTTTAGCTGCTCGCTTTGTATTTAGCAGCGCAGTCGCTAGAAAAACAAGCGCATAAAATATTGAAAATATTTATTCAATAGCTTTTGCGAGTGATTCACATTACTTGACACAAATGATTTCGCGTTCGCAGCACTTGGGATAATCGGCGTCGGGGAATTTTGTGGCGCCCATCTTGCAGCCGGGTGGCGGGGCCTCAACGCCGCAACTGTTAAATGTGAAATTAGTTATTTAAAGAAAATATAGTTTTACTAATTGCAAGTGCAACTCACGTGTGTATTTCGGCCATGCTATGCTCTGCACATATAATGCGCGCACATTCCATATCGGGATATTTGGCACGCTCACCCGGATTCAGTATGAGATTAGGCTTGATGTAGCACTTTCCGGGATGTGCCGGATCCTTGAATATTCCACGTGCAACAGCTGCCTCCGTGGTTGGCAGCAACATCGCCGCCAACAGCACCAGCAGCAACAAAATTTCGTTCACAAATAGATTCATCTAAACGCGGCGCACTCGAAAATCGGACTGATTCAGAGTGAATACGAAATGGCAGCCGGTCGACTTGATGAGGCGGTGCTTCCAACCGGACAAGGGCAGGGGTCAAACAGGTTTCCGATTGCGTCAGTGCATAGTGGATGCAATACATATGATATTGTTAACAAATTCTCAATGTGGATCGAGTTGGAATGCAAGTTCTCTTTCAAATAGAATCTTAGTAATTTGTGTATAAATGTGGAAATATAGATGAGATAGACAATACATAAAATTCTACTAAAACATGCAAGATGACAAGGTTATTAAATTAATATTAAAAAAGAACTATAACAAATTTAAATAAATAACAATGTTAATGAATTATCAAAATAAATATAAATATTATAAATTTATATAAATCTTAATATAAATTAAATGTTTTAATTTTTTAATTAATTTCAAGAGATTCCATTCTATATCAATATTTAGGTATAATTTTGTTTATATATTTAGTTTTATTATATATATTTTTATTCATATATTTTAATACCCTTGTAGAGGCTATTATAACATTGTCATGAAATGTTTAACGCATAGGAGACATCTTCGATCCTATAAAGCATATATATTTTTGATCAGCAGCCGCGTTAATATAACCATTTCCGTCTGTCCGTCTACTATGTTTCCTTTACAATATCTTAACATCGGGCCACTATATAATATATAAGTAGTAGCTGCTATAGAAAAGCTTGAAAGCTGAAAATCAGGCTCTTAAAACTGCAAAAGAGAAATGTCGCCAAAACTTTGGCTTCCACGCTTAAATTAGAATACTTTACTATATCTAAGCCTTCTGTTCAATGGTTCATTCCATTTTTTATAGTATTCTTTAAATGTAAATATATTTAAAATAAAATAATTTATTTAACGTATGTTAATGCTATTTTGTTCCACTCCGCTGATATGCGGCAAATGCTGATAAGTAGACAGCTGCTATTGCCGAATATGAACTCTTGGCCTGTGTTTTATTTGTTTCTCATCACAAGTAATACAAAAAATAATTGCAAATACAATTTTCCGTCAAATTTTGTGTATTTTTGAGAGCCAAATTGTTTATTTATACGATAAATACTAATGTGTAGCACTTATTTAATTTTGTTGGCATACCAAACACTTAACAGAAAATATCAAAAATGAGTTAATTATTATAGTTAAACGAATCATTTCCCATTTCAAATTTCAATCACAAACAATATGACGCTTGCAGCATCTGGGGTATTCCGCATCCCAGTGCTTGAAAGCTGTGTAACGACAATCGTTCGGTGGGGGCACATAATCGCAACTGGTCGAATAGCATATAGAATCTATCAGATATCAATTATATATGATTATAATGTCTAACATACGTTTGAAGCATGCCCCAGCCATCGCCCATGCAGAAGATCTGGGTGCAGGGCAGCGAATCTAGTTTAACAGATTCCCCCAAATTCATCAGCACTACGGAACTGCTCATATCCACAACACAGCGTCCAGGGTATGCTAGAAAGACGATTAGGGACGAATATTAAATAATATAGTATGTATATACGTAATATTATTATTAGAAATAATTAAAAATTAGCCGCCGTCTGTGCTTTTCTTTCTTAAGTCTTGCATCATTTTAGACGCAATCGTAAATAGATTCGGTGCTTATGTTCCGATTGGGCTAAAATATTTTTAAAATTTGTGTATATACCTAAAATCAGATTCTGTCTTGGCACATGCGAGCCAATATACTAACACCTTTAATATTTTCACAATAAACCTAGGCTTAGAATCAATACATCTTATTCTTATAGATAGTTCAGATAAACGTATTGATATAGATAATTTTAAATAATTATACGAATAAACCTATTGAATTGATGATAATCTTAAAGATGAGTTATACGAAAACTTAAAAGTTCTCAACAGATCGAAGGCTGCGACTTTAACCTCCTTCGACTCGGCTATTGCCTTCGTCTGGCTGTATTAAATCCTTGCAACCTTCTCGACCATTTTTGATAGGTGCAGAGCATAAAATAGCATAAAATAAACCAAATCTAAAATAGATTTCATACTTACCACTGTCTCCATAGTAATTAAGTGCGTTCAAGGCTTGAGTCTGAGTAAGGTACTCGAAAATGAAAATAATGAGCACAGCTTTGAAAACAAACATCGTGTATTCACATATATCTCTCTATATATATGTGTATATATATATTTGCATATATAGTTATTGATTTCTAAAATGTATTACATAGACTGCTTTGGTTTGCTTTAGTTTGTTAATTGAGTCTCACGAGCAGATGATTGTACGCTCACAGCAATGCGGATAGGGCAGATCCATATTGATAAAGGAGCCAAAGCGACAAGTGGTCGGAAGGCCGCTGATAATACCACAGCTGTTAAAGGCATTAGATACATTTAGGCATTAGATACATTCGATTGCAGCTGTTAGTACGCACCTTTGAAATATCGTAGAGCCATGGGAGCCGCACACAATCTGACGGCATTCGTGCGTGGGATCCTTAATGCTCGCACCCTCGTTGAGTATCAGCTCCGATGAAATTACGCACTTGCCCGGATATTCTACATGAAATGGGTATCTAATCTAATATATTTTGGGACACAGTTCGCATGTACATACTTTCATTATAATAAATGCCCACCCATTCAGCGGCTTGAAGTCCGAGTGTAAAATATGCAATTAGTTTAAATAAAATAAGCAAGTGCATTTTCTCTTTTTATTAATTTTTAATTTAAAATATAATTTTATAAATAATTCACGAGTAATTTGGACAGATAGGTTGACAGCTTTTCAAAGAGTGACTGTATGCCTAATTTTGCTCGATCATGTTTAATTTTAGGTTAGGTAGAAGTAAAGTTAGGTTATGTTAGGTTGGGTTAGGTTTGATGAAGTTGATCAAGGGAGGTTTGTTTCTTCACGTATAGGTTGCGTTCTTTATTTAATTTAAGGTTATGTGCGATAAAAGCAGGATTATGTAAAGCTGGGTTAGTTTTGGTTGCATTTGTGAGGTTAGGTTAGGCACTTGTAGTTTGTATTGCAAGGAACTTTATTTAGGTTATGTTGCACTGTATTTCGTAAATGGGATATCCAAAAATTGGCTAAATGTTTTTGACAGCCCCTTAATAATATTTTCTTTTATGAAAAAAGACTAGCCGCCGCTGTGGCATATTGACTGCATTTCTCTGTTTTTTTTCTTCGATAAAAAAAAATTTACATGTTTCCCATAAAAAGTGCATGACAAAGGCAGGAAAAAAATTGGAATTCAGATTTTTTTTCCTTGCTTTATTCACCTTCACCAAGTGATTCAAGTTTTGTTGGTGCATAGTTATTCGGCGAGCCATGAAAGGATTTTAGCCATGGATTACTTAAATCTTTCAAAATGTCCTGCCTTAAAGGGGCCCTCTTTTTATTTGGGTGGTTATTGTTAAGCTGCTCATCCGAGCTATTACGTATTTCAGGCTTCTGGCTATAAAATTGACACAAATTTAAATTGTCCAAGTGAATAAATCGAGTGAGAAGATTACCGGTTCAAATTCCACGTTAAGTTTAAGGTAATTCGACGGTTCAAATCTTATATTAAGCTTAAGATAACCTGTTCAAATCCCACGTTAAATCTCCCATGTTAAGTTAAATATTACCGGCTTAAGTTCCATGTTAATTTACAGATTACCAGTTCAAAAGCCCTGTTAAGTTAAAGATTACCGGTTTAAATCCCATGTTAAGTTAAAGATTACCGGTTCAACTCCCATGTTATAGCTAATCTATTTAATTTTTCTACTTTTTATTCATTTAAAGTAGCAACGCAAAATTTGACGAGAAAAAAAAACATGTAACTATGCCAAATAATATAGATTTTACATTAGACCGTGTTGCATTTAACAAGGCGTGAACAGCATTTCGGGTAGGGCGCATCGGGATACTTATGTTCGCCATATTCGCAGTCCTTGGGCGGATATTTCGTGTCACAGCTAAACGTAAAGAATGAAAATGAAACTGTTGGGTATACAAAGCGAAACGCATGGAGCTTACGCATAGACCAAGGCCCAGCTGTTCCGGCCACAATAAATTTCAGCGCACTTGCCAGGATAATGTGCGTACTGATCGCTTTCGATCAGCAATTTATCGCCCTTGGGCAATTCAACATAGCACTTGTTGGGATAGTCTATGGGCAGGTGGTGGTGGGGGGAGCAATAATAACCAATTGTTAGACTAAATGCCTGGGCTTACCGTCATGTTTAAATATGGCATGATAGGCATCCGCAGCGACAGGATGTTCGCTGTGCAGCAGCAAGACAAGCGCCAGGATCAAACCGACCATCAACGGCGACATTTTGTGTGTTCTGTATTCTTTTACTGTGTGTGTCAGGAAATTTTACTTAGATATTCAATTGGAGTGTGTTAAATTTGTAGGGCCTGCCCTGATGCCTGCCCTGATGCCTGCCGCCTGCTGCTGTCGATTTCATATGCACAATTTAATTAAAAGCATCAGCAGCTATAGCCAGAGTCGGAGCTGCAGATACATTTATAGATGCAGATACAGATACATTTATCGAATATGTTAATCCCGTCATGTGCAGCTGTCTGTGTGTGTTTCCAGATGTTGTCGTTGCCTTTGCATAATTCGATTAAACAACGTTGACGCCCACAGCCCGTAACCCCCCCCCTTCTACTTGCCTGCAGCGCAATGCAAATATTTGCTGTGTGTTTGTGTGCGTTGTCTGTCGGATTTTGATTGCTGCTTTCCCCTCAACGTAGCCCCCGCTCAGTCTGCAATTATTTAGCTACCCAATGTAGACAAATTAGTGGCCATATAATTGATGCATGCATGTGTTCATGTGTGTGTGTTTGTTTGTGTGTGTTTGCTTGTGTATATTTGTGTGTGTGTGTGCTGTTGTTATTGAGTGTTTAGTTGTGTTGGGCCAAGTAACTGTAAATCCATTGCTGATGTTTTTGTTTTAGCTGCTGCCAGTGCTGCCCGCCCCCACCATCCACCCGCACCTCAGCCTAGCTCTTTCTCTCCCCTCTTTTGTCTCTCGACTCTGACTTGATTACATTTGGCCATGCTGGCAATTAGGCAAGCGGCCTTCATTGTTTGCCAGCTGAAATTAATTGAATCGAGTGGCCTCAGCTGAGATTGAAATATGCAAGTCTCCTGCTTTTTTGCCCCCACCTTCTGCCCACAGCTTGGACTATCTGCTGCGAACAAAATAGTTTTTGTTGTTTTGAAAAGCTTTGAAAAGAAGTTGAAATTTAAAGAAAGGTATTTCACATGAATCAATTCATTGATTGCTTTAAATTGCTTTGTTTTATAAATGAATTGAATTTTTAAGAAATTGGCGATTCAATCAAATAAATAAACCCAAATAGATGGCCCATTCGGATCAGCGCCAGGTCTGGACTGTTTAATATGGAAAATAGACAGAAATTTTTTGGGGCAACCAACCAAGAGAGGCATAAATTTAGCTGGATCGATCAGCATTTAGATACAAAAAGGTGCAGCTGCCTAGATATAAACATCGATTTGCATATATACGCAATCAACACGTAAACGCAGCATAAATAACAAATAGCCACGCAAATGGAGGTGCAGGTGTTGGCACCCATCTACCTAAGGGTCAACATACAGCAACGGTCAATGGCAACATTTTGTTAAGCTACATTTTTTGTTGTTTTTGCGTGGCCAATGGAAATTTTGTGGGCGTGACAGGCGCCCAAGCAAACAGCTTTGGCCTCTAGCGATTCGACTGTACGTATATACATATATATACACATATTTAATATATGTAAGCTTTTACCTGTGTGGCAGTTGCTGTATCTCTCCCCCCCCTCTCTTTCTCTCTCTCTTTTATGCACACACATAATTATAATTTCAATGATATTAGAGTTCATATCAAAGTGAATGAGATACGAGCGAAATGTTTTATTTTTATTGCCTTGAGTTTTTTATGCCTGACCCGGCCGGCAACAGGCTCAAAGTTTATCTTCTTTTTTTTTTTTTTTGTTTTAATATTTTTGCATTATGTATGGGATGCTTTTAATTTTTGTGACGTCACAGCTGAAGCCGCCGGCACTTGAAGTTCATATGAGCAGCTTTTTGTGTGCGTGTGTGTGTGTTGAAGTGTGCTTATGAGTGTGTGTGTGTGTGTGTGTGTGTGTGCTTGTGTTTTTCCATCATGAAGCTCAACTTTTTTAAACGGCATTTATGTTTTTAGCTGGGAAAAACTCGCTCTAGCGCACAGACATAACAGAACAGAACTTGAAAAACAAGTGTGCATTAAATAAAGACATTCTTAAATTTAAAGCGATAAAAACTGATTTTATTTATCAAATTATATCGTATAAAAAACATGTAGACACAACTGAGTGTTTCAATAATTGGTTTTAAATAACAAATAAGTGTGTGCAATTTAATGGAATTGAAAAGAAAGTGTCATATAAATAAAAAAATATGTTGAATTTATTTATTCTTATTGATTATTAATTTCGATAATTAATTTCAATTAATGTATATAGCTTAATGCATTGTATTTATAAATAATTAATTTCATTAACTGTTATAAATGCATAATTGTCAATTGAGCTGTAAAATTTGTTACATTGCGTATACGTAATGCGCATAACGTATACGTAAAATAATTTAAATGCATTTAGCATTTTGTGTGTAAATTATTTATTTGTTAAGCTATATTGTAAAGCGTTATTGTAATGCAAATACACTTGTATGTGTGTGTGTGTGTATATAAAATATTCAAAAAAATTTCGCTGCTACAATTGCTTGATAAACTGTAAAATAAACGAATTCAAATAAGAACAACAGCAACAATAGCAACAACACAATAAAGTGCCGTAAACAAAATTTCATTCTGCCCAGTGATTTTTATGCTGAAGCGCGCGGGGTGCAAATGTAAGGGAAAATCCAATAAGTGAGCTGCACAGTGCACGATACATAGACCGACCCCCCTCTGTCGTCGCTGCCAGCCGCTGCCTAACTCTATCTAAACTGCTGGGCACACTATCTCGCTCTGCCTCTCTCTCTCTCTCACTCTCTGTCTCTGCTTCTCATCATCCTGCTGTTTCAGATTTGTTTGGATGCTTCTTCCGCTGCTTTCTAGTGCACTCAAAGTAACTGTAACAGCAGCAGCAGCAGAGGCAGAGGCAGCGGCAGTGGCAGAAGCAGC